AATTAGCCCCCACTCATGACTGGAACTGGATGTTCTTGTCACAAGTCCTGGGGCTCTCAAAAAAATTACACGCAGATGATACATAGGGCAACTTCGTTAGGCTCCACCTTGTGGAAGGTGGGACCACACTAATCATACATGCCAAGTGAGGAGAGGGGCCAAAAGAGAGATTCTGGGTGAACTGTTTGGAGCCCCTTTTGGTGATGTTTCCCAGGCATTTATGGTGACTGAAGAAACAGGAACGATTGGAAGTGGGAAAGGGCACAGCTCGGCTGTGGCAGTGAAGAATTTACAATGCAGTGGCTTACTGTGACTTAAAAAAGAGTCAGTGCTAGGGGGGACTGCACTTGGTGGCCACTGCCATATCTCCTATTGAGATGGGGTGTGCTAACCTACCTTTCTGGTAGGTTCCCATCAGTATCCTATCTTAGCCTTTTCAATACCCTCCTCAATGACCTAGAAGATGGCATAGATGACATCCTCATCAATTTTGCAAATGACAAGCTGGGGGTAGTAGTAGATATGCTGGAGGGCAGGGTTCGCATTCAGAGAGACCTAGAGAAATTGCAGGACTGGACCAAAAGAAATCTCATGAGTTTCAATAAGCACTTAGGCTGGGACAAACCCATGTACCGGTACAGGCTAGGCACTGACTGGCTAGGCAGCAGCTCTGCAGAAAAGGACCTGGGGGTTACAGTAAACAAACTGAATATGAGCCAACAGCGTGTCCTTGTTGCCAAGAAGCCTAACGGCATCCTGGGCTGCATTGGTAGAAGTGCTATCAAGAGATCAAGAAAAGTGATTATTCCTTTCTATTCAGTACTAGTGAGACCACATCTGGAGTAGTGTGTCCAATTTTGGGCCCCTCCACAACAGAAAGGATGTGGACAAATTGGAGAAAGTCTAGCAGAGGGCAATGAAAATTATTAGGGGGCTGGAGCACATAACTTGAGGAGAGGCTGAGGTAACTGGGCTTATTTAGTCTAAAGAAGAGAAGACCAAGTTGGGATTGAATGCCAGCCTTCAACTACCTGAAGGGTGGTTCCAAAGAGGATGGAGATAGACTGTTCTCAGTGGTGGCAAGGAGCAACAGTCTCAAGTTTCAGCAAGGGAAGTTTAGGTTAGATATTAGGAACAACTTTCTTGCTAGAAGGGTAGTAAAACACTGGAACAGTTTACCCAGAAAGGTTGTGGAATCTCCATCCTACGAGTTTTTTAAGAACTAGCTAGACAAAGCCTTGGCTGGGATGACACAGATGGGGATGGTCCTGCTTTGAGCAGGGGGTTGGATTCAATGACCTCCTGAAATCTATTCCAACGCTAATTTTCTTTGATTCTATGATTTTGGCCACAAAAAAGGGCCCAAAAAAGGTCCCAATCATCCTTTTTGGCACTACGGGAGGGTGCTGGAGCTTGCTTGTTCCCTCCTAGGGGAACAACTATCATTTTTTTTAAGGCCATACATACACAATAAAAAGTTCTCATCAGTATGTTTCCCATTTTGGGCCATACATTTTATAGACAATCTCAGTGCTGGCTGTATTTAATCAGCTCCATAGTTGATTTCTATTACTAAGCGCACATTGCTTTTGGCAGGTGTTTAACAGAAGAAAATGTATTTCATGTGGTTTTCTTTTAAGATGAGGGGCTGACTGGAAGGAGGGCAGGGACTTCATCTTCTATTTGTGTAAATACAGTACATCCATTTATATGAGAGTTTTAAAATTGCTTGCACTTCATAGTTTCATAGTTAGTAGGGTCGGAAGGGACCTGAGCAGATCATCAAGTTCGACCCCTTGCCAGGGCAGGAAAGAGTACTGGGGTCAAACAACCCCAGCAAGGTGATTGTCTTGTCTTGTCTTAAATACCCCCAGGGTAGGAGCCAGCACCACTCCGCTTGGAAGTTGGTTCCAGATCCTAGCCACCCTGACAGTGAAGTAGCGCCTCCTGATGTCTAATTTGAATTTACCCTCTGCCAGCTTGTGACTGTTATTTCTAGTCACTCCTGGCAGTGCTCGGGAGAACAGGGACTCCCCCAGTGCCTGCTGGTCCCCTCTGCCTAGTTCGTAACAGGCCACCAGATCCCCCCTCAGCCTTCTCTTGTGGAGGCTGAATAGGTTCTGGTCCCGCAGCCTCTCCTCGTAGGGCCTGGCCTGCTGCCCCCTGATCATGTGAGTGGCCCTCCTCTGGACCCTCTCCATGTTGTTCACATCCCTCTTGAAGTGCAGCACCCAGAACTGGACGCAGTACTCCAGCTGCGGCCTGACCAGTGTCACATAGAAGGGGAGGATCACTTCCTTGGACCTGCCTGAGATGCATCTGTGGATGCATGACAAGGTGCAGTCGGCCTTCCTGACTGCATCCCCACACTGCTGGCCCATGCTCATCTTGGCATCAATGATGACTCCAAGATCCTTTTCTGCCTCTGCACTGACAAGAAGGGAGTTCCCCAGCCTGCAGGTATGCTGCTGGTTCTTCCTCCCCAGGTGTAATACCTTGCACTTGTCAGTGTTGAATCCCATCCTATTCTCATCCTCCCACCCCTGTAACCTGTCTAGGTCCGATTGTAGCCTATTACTTCCTTCTAGCATGCCCACATCCCCCCACATCTTAGTGTCATCTGCAAATTTGAACAGGGTGCTTTTTACCCCCTCGTCCAAGTCACTGATGAAGATGTTGAACAGTGCAGGCCCGAGGACCGAGCCCTGCGGAACCCCACTGCCCACATCCCTCCAGGTCGAAAATGACCCATCCACCACCACTCTCTGGGTGCGGCCCTCCAGCCAGTTGGTGAACCATTTGACGGTGTAGGTGTCAAACACACCCCGTTTTAAATGAGAATGGGGTGAGAGACAGTGTCAAAGGCCTTCCGAAAGTCCAGAAAGACTATGTCCACTGCTACCCCTGCATCTAAGGATTTGGTGACCTGGTTGTAGAAGGCCACCAGGTTGGTCTGACAGGACCTGCCTCTAATGAACCCGTGTTGGTTGCCCCTAAGCATAATCTCCCCCGCTGGCCCCTCGTGGACATGTGCCAGAATAATTCTCTCAAAAAGCTTCCCCAGAATCGAGGTAAGACTAAGTGGTCTATAGTTTCCGGGGTCCTCCTTCTTCCCTTTTTTGAAGATGGGAACCACATTGGCCCTCTTCCAGTCCTCTGGCACCACACCAGAGCACCACGAGTGCTCGTAAAGCCTTCTATGTTACCTTTTATCCAGGGATCTCAAGGCACTTTATAGACACAACTTGAGCTTCACAACATGCTTTTCAGTGATATAAATTCAAGCCTTTTACACACTGGCAAGCAGAGACTAAAATTAGTTAATATTTACCCAGCCTCACACTGTAAGCCAATATCAAAGCCCTGAGCAGAATCAGGACTCATGAATTCATGATTTCATAGTTAGTAGGGTCGGAAGGGACCTGAGCAGATCATCAAGTCCGACCCCCTGCCATGGCAGGAAAGAGTACTGAGGTCAAGCGACCCCAGCAAGGTGATTGTCAAGCCTTGTCTTAAAGACCCCCAGGGTAGGAGCCAGCACCACTTCACTTGGAAGTTGGTTCCAGATCCTAGCCGCCCTGACAGTGAAGGACAATTCAAGTCCCTTCTTTCAAACACAAGGCAACATTGCTGCTCCTACAGCTGACTATTTTTTTAATGTTGTTGAATTGGTGCATACGACACCAAGTTATGGGGAAGTGTGGTCATGCTTGAAGATAGGCTATAGTTACAGGTGGACCTAGACACACTAGCAAGTTGGGCAGATCGGAATCTGACCAAGTTCAACATTGAGAAATGTAAAGTACTCCACCTCGGGACAAGGAACCCTCAACACACCTACAGGCTTGGCAGCACCAAACTGACCAGCACCACAAATGAAAGAGACCTAAGGGTAGTAATAGACCACAATATGAATATGAGCCGGCAATGCGATGCTGTAGCCAGTAGGGCAAATAATATTCTGGCATGCATCAATCGATACATCTCCAGCAAAGCCAAGGAGGTGATTCTTCTGCTCTTCTCAGCACTGGTGAGACCGAAGCTGAAGTACTGCATCCAGTTCTGGGCACCACACTGTGACAAGGATGTGGACAAGCTTGAGAGAGTCCAGAGAAGAGCCACCAGTATGATCAGAGTCTTAAAAAGCAAGCCATACAAAGAAAGGCTGAGGCACTGGGGACTCTTCAGCCTGAGGAAAAAGGGGACTTGGTAGCAGCTTACCACTACACTAGGGGAGTACATCAAGGGCTCAGTGAGCAGCTGTTCACCAGGGCACCCAAAGGGAAAACCAGGAGTAATGGCCACAAACTCCTGGAAGATCAATTCAGGCTTAACGTTAGGAAAAACTTCTTCACAGTCAGGGTGTCCAGACTGTGGAATAAGTCTAGGGTGGAATAAGTTCCCTCCAGAGATGGTACAATCACCTACCCTGGAAATCTTCAAGAGAAGACTAGACAGTCACCTTGCTGGGGTTGCCTGACCCTCAGTTATCTTTCCTGCTTGGTGCAGGGGGCTGGACCCAATGATCTTCTGAAGTCTCTTCCAGCCTTACAATCTATGAATTCCTTTACTGAAGTAAATTATGAAAACTGATGGAAATTCCCACATGAAGTTGTGTATTAAGCATTTTTGAGCACCAGAGGCCTTTTTAATTCATGCATAAGTATATTTCTTGTAGTTGCAGTTTTTCTACAAAGAAAGGAAAATTAGAAGTAGAGACACACATACAGGACTAAGAGATCATACTATTCTTCTTTGTATCTGGGATCTGTGGGATAAGGGCAGGACTTGGTTTGGTAGTACAGGTTATGCAGTAGTTGCCATAGTTTTCTTTCAAACCATCTTGGTGCTTTACGGAGTTTGTCATGCTAGCTCCTGTAGTTTGCATCTATGTGACCAGTTTTTCAGCAGGTAGCGCTGTTCAAGGGTTCCAGAAAGATCAAACACATTACGTGCTGCATACCATGGAAAAAAGGAATATACACAAGTTTTGTACTCACGCAGAAGTGGTCTGTACATCATGCCAGCTTTTGCTGAAGTTCTGTTTCAGCTCATTCATCAAGCTGACACCAAGCTTTTGCTTGATTTCCACCAGGTGCTTCTCTTTGGCTGCTAACACTTGTCGTAAGGTTGAAATTTCATCCTCTAGCTGAATGGAATGAAGAAAAATGTTAGCCTATGTGGTCATAGAAAAAAAAAGAAATACCATATGCCAAGTTTTAAAAGTCGTACTGAGGCTAACATGAATCTGCAGCTGACAAGTATAGAGCAGAAAAAAGAATTTAAGTAACTTTACTGATTCTAACATGCCCAAAACATACTCTACATTATAACTGTACTCAAAATACAAGTCTCTGCAAGCATGCTATTCCATCCTCATCTCACTACAAATACAGCTAGCTAGAAAAAGAGTTACTGGCTCCTTGAAGGGCTAACATGTAGAGGAAAGGAAGGGCATACTAAAGAATGCTTCCCTACTCCAGCTGGTCTGAAATGACCACTGGCTACATGGGTTCATTTGCACCCTAAGCATAAAAGTTGTATCAGCCCTTAAAAGTACCAAAAGTACAGAGGTGCCTTAAAGTCACCATGCTTCCCAACACTCTTCCACAGCCAGCAAGGACATGGATGAATTTAGGGACCATCTACTTTTTAAAAGCCTTTTAGGCTGGATGACTAGATTCAATCTTATTTGTAGGGAGATATTTTTTATACAGAAAAGTGTAATCGGGCCCTCTAACCTGGCACCTAATCCTTGCTAATTAAAGAAGAAAAAGAAATTAAAAACCAGGAACCAATCTTGATCTAGCCAATTTGTGCATGAATACATTCTAAAGAATATGTTCAGTCAAAAGGGGTTCTTTGGTGCCACTGTTCATTCTTTGGCAAACATATCTTTTCAAACAACATTTTTCAGACTTCATTTTATACAAAAATAATGCTGTTAGCTAGCATATGAATAGGACATCTGGCTAAGGAGAGGACAGCTGAAAACAGTTGGCCATTTATTCAATATTCTCATGCTGTCAGTAACACTCTAATCTGCCCAAGCTTAACATCACTAGCAGAAAAGGCTCATAAGCTAAAAAGGCATCCTGTAATACTGAAGCTGGTGAGGATAAGTTACATACATGTGTACAAGCGCACAAGAACAATTATTACATGACAGGGTTTAGTCCTCAGGGTTTTATTCTATGCTCCCTAAACTGAAATCCCACCATTTCAATTTTTCTGTCATGTTATGGTGAGGGGCCAGATCTTTTTTTTTTTTTGTATGGGACCCAGAGTTGCCTATGGCCGAGGCGTTGAGCTGCCAGTGGGCCAAGCAGCCCCTCCGCTCTGTGTGTGTGCATGTGGGCGGGGGGTGGCTAGTCCTTCCTTCCATGGCACCCCCTACTGGATACTATGATTTAATCATGTAGGCCACAGACAACGATGCATGCAACAGAAGGATCAGTCATTGATCTTCAAGACTATATTTGAGATGTTAATCTTCAGAACTACTTTTATCCTGACTACTAATTTATCATTTACTATTTTATTTTCATGAAAATTATAGTGAAATCATAGAGAAGGAGGGATAGAAGGCACCTCCATAGGTCAAACCTCCAGCCTGAGGCAGGATCATCCCTATTCAAATCATCCTATACAAATCCATAATCTAACCTCTCAGTAAAATGACCATCAAACCTGACATAACATGAGACATAACACCCTAACCTGCCACAGGTAAAGCAGGGGGACCATGGCAGCCAACCTCCTGCTTCTGTAAAAAATGTTAAAATATGCTCACGAGATTCCAGGTAGAAGGCAATGTTCCCCCACTATAGGGGAGGTCAAAAATATCTAATATTTTAATATTTTATAAGCTATCTTGTTTTTATTGTAAAGCACCTTAAGCCTTTTCGGAGGAGGGCACCACAAAAATAAATAAATGAATCAATGAATAAATAAATAATACATTCTGTTACACCACAAAACTGACGAAAGACTCACTGGACCTTTACAAGTCAGATGGTTTAATTCTCAGCCTTTTGGCTTCTCATTGGCCTTTACCTGGCATTTAAATTATACAAGTATGTCAGGAATAAACATGAAATTGTAGACACCTACAGAGCTGGACTGAGGTCAATACTAAAATTCCTCTAGATTGTGATAGTGTCATCATTTCAGTTGTGGAATTCAAGATCACCAAGATCCAGAATTGCTTGCCATTTTAGTGATCATAAAACAACTAACAAGTGGTCCTGTTTTCGACATTACAGAAGCAGCAAAGTTAAGTTTCGGAATCATTAGAAAATACCCAGAATCTGTGAAGGGTTAACTGAGCAAATACTTGTAGGAAAAAAAAGAAAGAAAAGAAATTAAACAGGTCTGATTTAAAGCAGGCATTAATTTAGTGAAACTGTTCCATTTGCTCAAAAACAAAGCACCCAGTGTGATAGTTTGTCCCCTTAACACTACAATGCTGTTCAAGATTAAAACAAAACAACTAGGCTACTTCTATTACTTACAGATACTTAAATACTTTTTAATGCTCCCTATAGGGACCAGCACTAGACAGCTCATTACATACCTGGATGTGACTATTCAAAGTCTTTTGATTAAAATTACTTTCCATCTGTTCAGTTAGACAACTAAATCTTCAAATCCTCATGTAAGCACTGACTTTTTGCATAATGCTATGGATATGGACATTATACACTATTAAAGGAAAGAAAAGCATTTTGTTTAAAAAAAAGAAATTTGTATTTTAAAACAGGACACCATCAACTTAAAATGTCATTGTTTAAAAGAAAAAAGTTTAAAATAGTACCAAACATTCCTCAGGTGTCCAAACAACACTGACTTGGGACTTCTAAGTATTGAACATAAAGGCTTAAGGACTTAGATGGATTTTTAAAAAAAGCACTTAAGCAGGTTAGGCTACCTTCCATGGGATCAAGGCATCAAACCTGCTCAGGGTTTTTTGAAAATCCCACTATTAGACTGTTTTTGAAAATAAACGTGGATTACACTAATGAATTCCTGAGACACTCCTGAAAATGTTATCCATTGCCTGAAATAAAGCACATAGGGAAAGTTTTTGTTAGCTGAGAACCACAGAGTCTTCCTGCCACTTGCTGTGGGTTTTAGAAACATTCCCCCTGATGCTTTTGTCTCCTACGGATGAGTAAAAGATCTATGCAAATGATAGGGGAAGGTGGCTACTCTCCAAAATTGTGCTTCTCACAAATATTCTGTTAGGCCTGAAACAAGCTGTTAGAAATAATCTGCTTCTGTTTTGAAACTGAGCACCTGAACAAAAAAAAATGGCATCTGGCATCATCTTTCTGAGAATTCTGGGCTTACTGCCATTGCAGAGAAAACAGTGAAAAACCCAGACCAGTCTGACTTATGCATCCTCCGAAACAAGAGAAAACTTACTTCTTTCCTGTAGTTTAACCTATAATTATCTTTTAGGTTTCTTGTACTAATTAAAGACCATACATTTTCAGAGCGTAATATAAATTTTAAGTTGATGCTGTAGTTTTAAAAATGATCCTGCAGCATATACTTCTCCTCTCTCTCATGTACCATGTACTTTTTGCATAGCACATTGTGACTGGGACTGTATCTTTCTGAGTACTTATATGGGAGAAAGAAGCCTTGCTACCCATGTCTCGATCTGACCTTAGGAAATATAATAATACCTGTTTATTAGCAACAAAACACAACACATAGTTCTATTAATTATATTTGGAATATACATTAGTTCCTTCACATGCATGGTGTTTAAGTGAGAGCTGGAGGGGAAAATGGTCATGGGAGGAATACACTTCAGCAAAATATGGGGCAGGAAGTATAACGATCAACCTTCACAGAAGGCAATTTAATAAAGCAAGCTACTAGAATCCTTTCTGGAGGCAAGCAATGGAAACAATGGGTACTTCAAAGTCATGCAGGGGCACAATGCCACCATGCACTACAAAGGTACATGTGAAGCTGCTTGAAATTTGAACTAAGTAGGTGGAGGGGCTGTGCTGGTTATTGTGTTTAACAGTGGGTTGCCCATGTGTATAAAGCAAATATATGATTGTAGTACAGGGACCTGTACTAGGCTTAATTTTACTGGCACAGGTGACAGCAGCAAAAAGAGTTAGTGCCACAAGCTTTAGCACTACCACAATACAAACCTTGCAGAAACCCTGGGTACGTACTGTGGTTACTACTCCATGCCACCATCCCTGCCACTACCAATGCTAGCTAAACAAAAGAAAGCATAAGAATGCCATACTGTGCAAGAATCGCACATTTTTTAGCTGTGTAGACCAGTGGTGTGGATTGGATGAGCGGTGCCAAATCTGTACATGGCCAGGTCCAATCTGTGGACACATGGGGGAATGGTCCGGCTGCGTTAGGCCCTGGTCAGGTTATTCCTGTGCAGCTACATCACACTCTGGCTCCACACTTTTGCCACAGGCCCCCCACAGCTATACTGGGCCCTGTGTCAGCTGGATCAGGCTCCAGCTTGATTCAGCCACGCAGGAATGGGACCAATCGATCTACACAGGGCAGCCTGGCCAGGACCAATCCCACCTCAGGCAGCCCAGAAATTTGACAGCAGGGAGTGGGCTGGGGGTTGAGTACCCTGGTAACAAAGATGTAGGGAACGCATAACAGGAGGCAATGAAGAAAATCATGTAAAAGGACCAGAGACACCCACAGAAGCACACAGAGCAAGGCCCAGAGAAAAAGCTAAGAGTGCTTTTGGGTTAAATGATGACTGGAAAGATTTGGAGCTGTGAGCAAGGAAACAGTCTTCTGCTGGTAAATTTCTCCTGTGGGCGCTGACAAATGTGCAGCTCCCTGCTCTAACTCATGGTGCTTCAGAGCCAATGCAGTGGGGAAGTTACCTGCTTGCAGCCTCCCCCCACCCCAGTTCTGCTCCCCCTCACAGCTCCAGTGCTGTCAGCAGGAAGGGAGAAGGGGGAGGCAGCTGCAGCTGGGGGGCAATGGGATTTGGGAGGGGACTGCAAGGCAGAGGAGCTCCAATTCACCTTTCCCCCACCACCTCCAGTTCAGGCTGGGCAAACCCCAGCATGCAGCTCCTGCCTCCTCCGTTGCTCCCTGCAGACAGCCCTGGGGGCAGGGCTAGGCTAGAGAAGCCCAGCTCTAATCCTGTGCAGGGACTGGTCAAGTTCCCTGAGGTGCTCCACTCTGGAGCACCTTCATCTGATCTCTCGACACATGAAGGTTAATTTGTTGCATGATAGGCCACTTTTAAAGTGCTCTGCAGCTTTGCACTTCTGTCACAACACAGCTATAGAGCACTTTCAAGGGGCCAGTCATGCAACAAATGTCACTTCTGTTGGCACCTTGTGTTCAAGGAATTGGGACTGCATCCCCTGTACCTCGTATATACTCTGTAAATACATTAGACTGTAGCAAGAAAATAATTCACTAATCATTAGTAGAAATAAGACAAAGGAATTCTTCCTTAAATTCTACATGGGACCTAAAAAGAGTTAAAAATTCCAACATGTTACATAACGTTGCTGAATAGTATAACAGGAAGAATGTTGAAAGATATATGTAGGTAAAGTCATGCTACCAGCTGCTTTAGTGTTTCATGTACAATGGCTGCAGGCAGCGTTCTTTCCAAGATGTGTGGTGTGTGCAGCTTCACAGGCGCGCCTGGCAGCGCGGCATGAGCGTGCCCGCAGAACTGCACACGCCACACAGCTTAGAGGGAACGCTGGTTGCAGGCATGTAAATACTAGGGTTAGGTACAGAAGTTACACATAAACCGATTTAAGTGATCAAAAACCAGTTTAAACCTGAAAAAGAACAGAAGTTCAGTGCATATAAACTGGCTTAACAATGGCCAAACCCAGTTGGATAAACCTGGATGAATGTAGTATCAGACTTAACTGATTTAGGTTAAACTAGTTTATGGAACATCTGTCCCAGATCCCTCCTCAAGTCAAGTTAACTCACAATCCCCCAGCGTCCCAGGATGCTTTGAACCCCTGCACTGTGCTGTCTGCTCTAGTGAATCAGGGCCAGCCCTGCCCTTAGCTGTCATAGAGCTGAGGTACTTAAGCCTTTGCTCCCTAGCCTGTTTCCTGCCTATACCTATCAGCTTGGCGAAATGGGGAGCAGGGGAATGGGCCCCCAGGCTCTCCTAGCCCAGGTCCATACAGTGCAAGAGGAGGAAAAGCCCCAGCAGTGGGGTTCTTCACTGCACATCCCCCTCCCGCCCCCTGCCCCATAGCTGGGCAAGGCAGGATTGGGATTGCTTCAGCTCTGCCCCATCCCAGCTGCCAGACTCTAAAAGATAGAGAGCAGCAAGTAAATGCACTCCCCTGGTCTGGCACTGCCCTTCACCTCAGCTGGGGTCTACTCAGTGAAGGGAGGAAAGCTCCAACTGCAGGGGCTTTTCACCGCCCCGCCCCCCAGCCACCCAGGCTGAAATGGCTTCAGCCCCAACCCTTCCCCAGCCGCCTGACTGAGAGGAGAGCACGGATGCTGCTGAGCTGGGTTCGGCAGCCTTAGACAGTGTCACCATGAGGGGTGGTACACATGAGCACCCCCAGGCTCCTGGCCCGGGCCAGCGCAGACGTCGGTTGGTCTTAGCCACCTGCACACAATGTCAGTTCAGTTTGTTATTGGTTCAACCTATGCAGCTTAGAAAAGCCTGCAAAAGATTGAATTGAATCTGCTTCAGGCTTTTTGAACCTCTGTACTTAGCCTAGGATATTAACAATAGATTTACCAACAAAGGGATTCACACCTCTAACTCACATCAGACAGTGCATTAAGTTTACCTCTTAAGGCACTTATTCTGTAAATATGTGCATTAACCTTACTTGTGTGAGTATTCCTATTGACTTTACTAGGAATCTTCATACAACTGAAATTACTCACATGTGTATGCATTTGTAGAATCTGTTTCTCTTCTGAAACTCAGAATCATTTACACCTGGCTAACCTTCGTTTATGATTCATGTTCTGATAGAAATTCCATGTCTTCTAGCAAATCTGTGAGAGGTTTGCCATATTTTTTGGAATAAAAAAGGACCTGCAGTGCTTCAGACACAGGGATTTCTAGCCATTATTATTTCTAGTTCCATTTCATTTGCATTGTAAATGATGCCTCATTTAGGATCAATATCAGCTGATAGACCAACTCAAAACAGAAGACGCCCCATTCCTTGAAAAACTTACAGTTCAAAAAGACAAGGCACAAAAGCAGTACCAAGCAGAAGACAGCATGCAAGTAAAGTTTAACGTGTGTTGAAAATATATAGAATTGTTAGTTTCTATTTTTCTTCTTTATACACAAGATGAGCAATATAGAAAGTCAAGAAAAGTTAAAAAAAAGTACTAAGATATACAATTAAATATAAATCTTTTATACATATACCCATGACATTATGTACCTTATTTTACTTATTTTAAATACAACCATATTAAGTACTCCTGCCAACACATCACCAATGGTTATTAACTGATCTCTTGTAGGCATAAAGAAAAAGATGCTTGAGAAAGGACTTGATGGAAAAGGTATTAATCCTTATTGACTGTCACTGCAAAACAAGCCCTTCTAAAAAGGGTAGCATGGAAGAAAGCACAGATGTAAGTGTAAGAATGCTGTGCCACTGAAGGGCCATTTGTAGTGTGGAAGGGGCTTGGAAGGCTTAAAGAACTGGAAGGTAAAGACAACAGGAGATTTTCAAAGGCATGTCTAATTTCCACTGAAGTTACTAACATAGGAGCTGCTAATGTGCATGCCTTTTTCAAAATCTCTTTCATGGAGCTAATGCTTAATTACAAACTTTGAATCTTCCAAAGCTCTCAATTTTTCCAAAGTTTTCTAGATGCAATTCTTAAATATTTTTCTTTGGACTATGAGCAAATCTGAACAATCTTACTAACCCTAGCTGACCTAGATACTGTAATAAAAGTAATGAAGTCAGAATTAAACTACTTTCCTATTGTTTACAGGTGTATAAGTTCACTAGAGAAACAAAAATAACTCACATTTCAGATTTCATAGCTTTAGCCCAGCTAGACCAAAGTAAGCACTTGGCCTTTGTTTATCCAGGAAATCATGAACCAAACGAAAGTCTATTAACTATAATATAAATATTTATATTGTACAACTGAGAAGAACAAGTCTCTATATAAAGAACTATTTTATGGATCAGACTGGGTATCCTGTTTTCAAGCGTTACCCTTTCAGAGGAAGGGGCAATTACAGAATAACTGCCCACATGGAATGCTTGAAATTTACTGATTTTCAATTTGGACGGTACAGTTTTATTAAATGTCTCTTTCTTGCTCTGTTAGATGGGAGGATAAGCAGAAATTCCCCAGCTACCTTTTCTTTAACAATTATTATTTCATATCTCCTTACCACATTAGAGAGAGACAAAATAGAGGTAAAGTCAAGAAGCACAATTTTTACAATTCCACTTCATATTTAGATTCCTCATTTTTCTTTGCTCATTATCCTCTTTTCCTGTCTATGAATCTCATACATTACTGTATCCAACAGCAGACAAGGTTGCATCTCACCTTCCACTATAAACTTGACTATGACCATCTCCTTAACTCACCCATACTAACTCAACCATACCATGTAATTATAGCCAATCCAGGATTCCCACTATTTGAAGATTTATTTTATTTTTTTATAAAGTTTCTTTGTATTATTGTTTGTCATGACATTATGATCATCGTTAGTGCCTTTTTTATTGAATCATGTTAAAATTTCTTTTCATTTTCATATTACATAACTAAATCCATGTGAATTCCAAGGGATGGTTATTTCAGGATCTTTCATTCATTATAAATGTTGCCAGTTTAAAACTAATGACAAATAACTGGTTGGTTGGAGTGGCACAACCGTTAGTTTTAACATGTAACAGATGATTAACCTATCAAAAATAATCCGATAGAGTGAATCATCTTGCACTATTCAAGGCTAGAAAAACTATATTAAAACAAAGGTCTTGTAGCACATGTACTTCATTCTGCTAATTATATGCTTCCACATTCAGGAGGTAAAAATATTAATGCCCAGGGAACTTCAAAAGCATTACCTTGGCTAACTCAATCTTTAACTCTTCTTTCTCTTCTTCAGAAATTATGGTGGTGAAATCAATATCAGTAACAGTGTCTTCATCTGCCTCATGCAATGGCTGTGCTTCCAGCAGTCCTTTGAAAACAAAAAGATAAAAGTCAATAAAATACTTACAAATCATTTCACCAACCGTGCTAACCACCAACAGAAACCTAAAGTGCAACGCCATCTTCACTTCATGTCCTAGAGTAGGAGTGCTCAACCTCTGGCCCATGGGTCACATATGGCCCATGAAGCCGTGTCATACGGCCCTTGGGCTCCCCATCAGTCTGAAAATTTGGCAGCACAAGAGCAGTGGCAAGGTTTATTGTAGCTTCCATGCTGCCAAATTTACAGACCTGTGGAGAGCCACCCAAGCCAGATGAAATGGTCCTGCACATGAGATTACACAAGGATGCAGCTATGGTTGGCTCCTGGGGCTGAGCTGGTATGTGCCAGAATCAGCCCAAAAATTGGCCCTGCAACACTCATCCGGCCTGCAGGGCCAAACGATTGAGTATCACTGCCCTAGAATTATTCAGGTCTTTCTGATATAAGAGCAGAATGCAAATGACCTTCTGGCTTCTGAAAGAAAAAAAATCTTATATTTTTTACTATAATATCAATGTGAAAACACTAACCAGACCAAGACATTTTAATGTAATTGAACAAAGGTGCAGTACTAAAATATCATAATGTAGACGAGAAGAAGCAAAACCTATTTTTTCTCAAAATAAGTCAGTTAAAAAAATATATATGCTTATGCAGAGCTCTGAAATCACTTATGAACTAGAGAATAAAAAGGCCGATTCTGTTTCGACTATCAGGGCTGCTGCAGAAACCAGGAAGAACTCTCTCTGCGTTCCCTTAAGACCAGACAGTTCTTCAGAGGGTAGAGGTGCTAAAAGATGGTGCTAAAAAGAGTCCATCAGGTTTGACCTTTGTCCCCTCTTCCTTCAGAATGCAAGGTCTGCTACTTTGCTCTTCCAATACCCCCCCGCTCCTCTTCCCTTCCATTTTACTTTCTAGGACAGGGGCAAAGATACAAAGAATACATGGAGCAGCGTGGTCCCAGCTTATGATAGAGAAGAGGTCCTGCTGCAGGTGCCTGTAGGCAGAGGTGGAAGGTAAAGAACCCTTGAGGAGCAGAGGCAAGATCAAGGGGCTGTGGGGACGTGGGAACTGAGAAGCATGAAGAACAAACTCATAAGCAAAGAGAACTGATGTGTGCGGAGGGAGGTGGGGAATTAATGACTGGGGAAAGCATAGCAGGTATGGAGATCAGAGCTCTTGTAATAGAGACAAATATCAATTTTGTACTTGAGAAAAGTGGATAATACAAATTGTTACACATTGTACATTAAAGTAGTAATAATAATAATATAATATTTAAACAAAATTAAAAAAAGAGTCCATAGTATAATCACATGATTTGGGGGGGGGGGGGAAGCAAGCTAATGATTTCTGAAACTCTGTGGTTGGTATTTCCACTATAAGCAGTTTTAAGAACAGGCTTTTCACAGAGACCCAAAAAACAAAAAGAATAAATTAGATTTCAAGGGCTATCCAAGATTATTCAAGGTTCTCAGCTTTGCCTATCCACTTTGTCATCATCAACAAGTATGTCAAAACAACCATGCCTGTAGATTTCTACTTTAGACCCTGAAACGTGGATAAATAGGATGTTCTTTCAAGCCACTGCAACCACATTTATTCAATGCAACTCAAGCCCAAACAAAAGATGGCTTTTCAAAGTGCATCACCTCAGTTGCCTGATAAATGTCATCAGAATTCTGTGCAATGGTCACATAGTGCTCAGGATAGAGGAAATAAAAACTGAAGACTCTGAAATCTAATTTGGGGCCAAGTCTGGTCCCCAAGATACAGAAGCCAGAGGGGAGAGAGAAAAAGAAAATGGTGGTAGAAAAGTGAACTTCATCTACTATTGGAGAACGGATTAAGTTTGAATTTGGATGGAGTTTACACAGCTCCTGGAGTTTACCAGGAGGATATCACAGAATTTAGTAGCATAACTAGATAGTGCCTTGGTACCAATGGTGGCTGACTGGAAGAAAGCAAGGAGGACTACTGCATATCACTCTAGCTCAGTGCTCACAGATGTGCATAATATTCTACTGCCAGGTCTAGACTGCAAGCCAGTCTAACTGGTCTGCTTAGAGCTCACGCTTTCTACTCGTCTGCAGTCAGTGATTCAGTATTTTGTTTTCTACTCATTGTTCACACAGTCACTCTTCCCATTCTTCCATCACAAGTAGCCCTTTTTACTCTATGCGACTAAACAAAGCAGCTTTTACTCTATGCTCCCTGGGCACAAGGGAGAAGAGTGATTCCTAAAAGCACAGATGGTTTCTGCTTGAGTGCATGAACTTGGTACAGGTCACAAACGCCTGGATGTGCAACTGCATGAAAAGGAAGCCTCTACGCACTACGTGGCAGTTTGGGGAGTGGAGAGGCCGCACTGCAGTAGATAGAAGAAGCAGAAAACAAAACACCAAATAAGGCAGGGAGCACAGGGAAAGAAGAAAACAGAGTAGCAAATTACATAGGGAGTACAGGGCTAGGACCAGAAAGCAGAGCAGCTGATCAGGCAGGGGACCAGGATTGGAGCTTCACTTGGGGAGGGTGTGGGACTTATTAGTGGCACACCTGTCAAAAAAGGTTGGCCCTCATTGGCCTAGAGCAGGGATGGGCAAAATATAGCCTGCAGACCAAATCCAGCCTGCGGAGGGGCTTTGCTCAGCCTGTGGCAGGTCCCTCAGTCCCACTTGGCCCAGGCATTGGCCCACAGTAGTGCATCCTGCTGCCCCCTGAGCGCGCAGCAGGGCTGAGAACTCCATGCTGGACTGCCTTTCTAGGCAACCCAGGTGGCGGCAGCAGCTTCTGACCCCAACCCCATGGTTCTGGCAGGGACCTGCATGCAGCCTCATGCCTGCTGCAGACTCACCTGCTCACGCTGAACAGCTGCAGCAACAGCAGCACCGGCAGGGCAGAAGTGTGCTCAGTGCAGAGGAAAAGCGACTTCTCCCCCTCAGTGCTGCCCAGTGTTTCCTGCAGCAGCACAAAGCCTGTGCTGGGCTGTCCTGCATTGTCACTGCCGCCTTTGGGCTACCCTGTGGGGCAGTGGGGGCAGCGCAGGGGAGCTGCAGGGCAGCCCAGTGCAGGCTCCATGCAGCTGCTGCAGGAAGAACTGGGCAGCACTGGGGGGGGAGAGGCTGCTTTCCCCCACGCTGAGCACACTTCTGCCCTGCCGGCGCTGCTGTTGCTACAGCTGTTCAGCATGAGCAGGTGAGTCCGCAGCAGGCACGAGGCAGGTTGGGGCTGCGTGAGGGTCCCCGTCTGCACTGCTGGCCCCAGCCCTGCGGCTGCTGAGAAAGGCAGTCCAGTGCAAAGCCACCCTAGCCCTGCTGCATGCCCAGGCAGCAGCAGGACACGCCATGGCCTGGCAGTGCAGAGCAGAGCAGGCATGGGGTGGGCTGGACTGGAGCTGTGCCCGCATCTAACTGCTCTGCTCCTGCTGGGGTCAGTCAGGAGCAGGCAGGGTGTGCTAGTGCAGTGCGCTGCTGATGGTGGTGGGAGGCACCATAGGGCATGTGGGGCTCCCATGCACACTCCACCATACCCACAAACCCTCCTCTGGAAACCCCATGACCACACTCTCCCCCACACACAGTCACATCCCCCACAAACACTGCACCCCCCCCACACCCTTCTATATACACCCCCCCCACAGGTCTCTAGGGGGAGCCCTTACCTCTCTCTCAAAGTGCAAAGTTTCAAGAAGTTAAATGAATAAAGGATATCAAACAACAAGAATACACTTTTTTGT